GCGGCGCTGCCTGGCTCCCCTGCCGGGTCCCCCCGCTGTAGCGCTGCTCCCGAGGGAAGGGCTCTCCCCCCACGGACAGTAACTAATGGACTGGCACTTGGCTCTTTCTGTTCCCCGGCACTACCAGCCTGGGCTACAGAGTTACACCGTGACAATCCTGTGCAGCTTGCCGGACGTCAGGTTAGGACCTCAAGTAGGTCGGAGTGCTGCCTGGCTCCCCTGCCGGGTCCCCCCGCTGTAGCGCTGCTCCCGAGGGAAGGGCTCTCCCCCCACGGACAGTAACTAATGGACTGGCACTTGGCTCTTTCTGTTCCCCGGCACTACCAGCCTGGGCTACAGAGTTACACCGTGACAATCCTGTGCAGCTTGCCGGACGTCAGGTTAGGACCTCAAGTAGGTCGGAGTGTGTGACAGCAGCGTGCACTCTGCCTGGCTCGGCTTCTGTCTCCATTTGCAGCTTGAGTTTGCTGTCGCATAAATCTGGCGTTGACTGGTGAAGTAAGTGGAGTTACTCTGAGCTGCAAGCTCAGATTCAGTCGTTAGACATCAGTTCACAGAGCTGGGGTTTCTGGTCTCTTCTCTGGCCCATCAGCCTTCACAAACTGGAGTTTCCCTTCTAAGAAGGAGGAGAGGATGGAATTATTCCAGCTCAAGAGTAGCAATTTACCAGTTATTCAAACCTTTACCCACATTTTTTTAGAAATTGTAAGAATGATTAATTAATCTGTCATGTGGGACAAGATTTGTCTTTTACACTTCTATTGTAATGGGTAATTGGAGTAAAACTGCAGATTATGAAGTGAAAGTCAAACCAAAACACTGTCACTTTATCTCTGCCCCTAGTATCAGAGCTTTAACAAAATAATCTCTATGTACAGTTAGCCATTTTGCCAGTGACGATTGAGGAAATGAACTGTAGCTAATAGATCATTTATAGTGTTTATTTTAATAATTTGAGTATCTTGAATCATTTGCTGGATTTTTCAAGATGCCTGAAGTGTACAATTATCACTGAACAAAGTAATTATTAATAAATACTTAAGTATTTTCTCTGAACTTTGCCAACTAAAGACTATAGATTTAAACTCTTTAATAATTAACAAGAGAAGATATTCTACTCAATCCATGGCAGACCAGAAAAAAATCTGGATGAACCCTAACTCATTTTAAAATGAACACCACAAAAAGCCATGTAAAATGTCTTTGACTTTATTCTATAACAGGGGTGGAGAACCTAAGGCCTGGTGGCCAACTATGGCCCTCGGTTTGCCTCAATCCGGCCCCTGACACTCAGGAGTTCGGATTCCTTCCCCCAACCTCCTGTGGGACCAGAGCACACAGTCTACTAGCCTGTGCACCAGTAGGCTCTGGCGTTCAAGGGGAATGTGGAGAGTGTCTTTTCATTCTCAGTTGGTCAGTGAGGATTTTTTATTTTATTTTATTTTGCCTCTCACTTGTGTGTGGCCCCTGACTGAATTTTCTGTGTGTCAGTGCCCCCCCAACCCAAAAAAGGTTCCCCACCCCTGCTTATAAGATGGTTTTAATAGTTTAGTTTCAACACAGTATAAACTTAACATTTCATTTCTGTTATAAAACGAGAAACATATAGTTACACTGTTCTAAGAAAATAAGGCATGTTCTTTAAACACCAGATCACTCAATGAACTCTAGCATAGACCTGTAAATGAAACACGAAGGACAACTCCCATCGGCGTCCAGTACTCCTCCTTTTGTGAGGAGTAAGGAAAGCCAGGAGGAACGTTTGCTCCTATCGGCTTCCCTCACTGTGGATGCACGATGGCTTGGCTTAATGTAAGCCAATTCCAGCTATGCATTTTACACGTACCTTTAAGCCAACTTTCCTTGTGTTAGTGTAGACCAAGCCAAGCTTTTAAAGGACAGAAATAATTTCATTGATAATAACCAACAGTTGATTTTGGAGTATATCTTTCAAGTTTCAAGTAGATGAGTTAGCTAACTAATGATCATGTAATTAACTTTCACTTCATTTACAAAACCAAAGCACTGAAAGCAAGGAAATGAATAAAGACACCAAAAATATTGTGCTGTTCATGTAACACATGCATTATTCTTCTCAAGAACAAACACATTTCAGCATGTAGTATACTTACCCTGAGCGAAATTAAGGTCTCACTTACATTTGTACTTATTAGTTTATGCACATCTTATTGGAACTACACTCGTGTAAAGAAGCAGGATCAGGGCTAATGTCTTTGCAGGCTGTGCAGGATCAACCTCACCATCATCCTAGGACTTCCATTTGTAAGCAAAGAAAGTAGCAAAGATTAGCAAATTTCTACTGAAGACGTCTCATCCAGGATTGCCCTTCCCTGGTTTTTATTCTTTCTTTGTTTTAACGCCACAGCCCAGACTCTCTTGCTTGGATCCAGGATGGAGATAATGAGCCATATCTACCACAGTAAGATTGTTGGAATCTCTGGATTTTCCAGTAAGGTGTCAGTATCTGGTAATGGTCGATCAACCAAACTGTCCTATCATGCTACTTGGTGCTTTTTTTTGTAAAAAAAAATAATAATAATAAAGTGTCGGTACTCTTTAAGACCCAGCGAACTGTCAGCCATTTTCATTACAGAGGTGCCGGCACTCTCCATTCTTTCTATGTAAGCTCTGACTGGAGGTGCCAGTAATGCGTACAGGGCAGTACCATCACAAAAAAAGCACTGGTGCTGCTACCTAGCAACTTTAACCGTGACCCAAGATTTTAATATAAGTTTTATTATCTTGATTTCTGCATCAAAATATTGACTAGTAATTAGTTAATACATTTTGCAATTGCCAGTAGAATTTATTGCAGTTTTTTAATAATGTATATAGATTAATGAAAAGTGTCTAACATTATACTGCATGTTATAATTGCATGTTATGTGGATGCTTGCATTTCAAGCAGAATGCATGTCAAACACATGTATGTGTAATATTTCTTTTCCAGAATGGTTTGAGTTGTGTTTATATAAATTAATTTACTAAACAGTCAGCATTTACTGAGAGTCACAGCCCAGTCTAAATAAATGAGATAGCAAGAAGATTATTGTTAAAAGTATATGAAGAGATGGTAAAACCAAAAAGCCTGGAGAATAATACTTTTATTCCCTTCCTGGAAATAATCTCTGACTGTGCTGCTGTCTGAAGTGGCAGTACCATGAGTGCCAGCCTCAGGCCAGATTGTCATGAAGTTGGGCAGAGACCCCAAACTTTTGGTTTAAAATGTGCCAGAGTTGCAGTAGTCTCTTAACTCGTAATGTCTTTAGGGCTAACCCAGCTGACCTTGGGGATCTCTGCTTCTGTTTTATAGCATCAACTCTGTTAGAGTCCAAACAGCAAAAGATGAAAAAAAATTGCCAGCTATCTTTATTTCCTTCCAGAATTCAAACAAATGGAATGAGCCCCTTTGCATGTAGCCTCTTCATGGGGAATTCATAGACTTATAGACTTTAAGGTCAGAAGGGACCATTATGATCATCTAGTCTGCCCCCCTGCACAGTGCAGGCCACAGAATCTCACCCACCCACTGCTAGAATAATCCTCTCATCTATATCTCAGATATTAAAGCCTTCAAATACTTTGAAGACCCCAAGATGCAGAGAATCCTCCAGCTGTGATCTGTACCCCATGCTACAGAGGAAGGCGAAAAACCTCCAGAGCCTCTGCCAATCTACCCTCGAGGAAAATTCCTTCCCGACCCCAAATATGGCAATCAGCTAAACCCTGAGCATGTGGGCAAGACTCACCAGCCAGACACCCAAAAAGTTCTCTATAGTAACTCCTATCATCCCTCCATTGACCTATTTCCCACTGATAATCAATGGTCAATTAGTTACCAAGATCATGTTATCTCATCAAACCATCCCCTTCATAAACCCATCTAGTTTAATCTTGAAGCCAGATAGGTCTTTTGCCCCCACTATTTCCCTTGGAAGGCTGTTCCAGAACCACACTCCTCTAATGGATAGAAACCATTCGTCTAATCTCAAGTCTAAACTTACTACAAGCCAGGTTATATCCATTTGTTCTTGTGTCCACATTGGTATTAAGCTTAAATAATTCCTCTTCCTCCCTGGCATTTATCCCTCTAATATATTTAAAGAGAGCAATCATGTCCCCCCTCAGCCTTCTTTTGGTTAAAGTAAACAAGCCAAGCTCCTTGAGTCTCCTTTCATAAGACAGGTTTTCCATTCCTCGGATCATCCTAGTGGCCCTTCTTTGTACCTGTTCCAGTTTGAATTCATCCTTCTTAAACATGGGAGACCAGAACTGCACACAGTATTCCAAATGGGGTCTCACCAATGCCTTGTATAATGGCACTAACACCTCCTTATCCCTACTGGAAATACCTCGCCTAATACATCCCAAGACCTTTTTCACGG